CAAATACCCTAGAGTGACTGTATTAGTAAACGGTCTAGGACTCACTCTTCGGGGATTTTTCCATGCTTTAATCATCTCATTCATCCTCTTAAATGCTTTTGGCTGACTGTAAGAGAAATCTAACTGATGAAGCCCATATGTCATAAGAATGAACTGTTCTGCCCCAAATTGCCTTCTCACTAGGAGTGGTGCATAATTTATCGCTCCCCATAAACCCAGAAGTAGGACCATTGTATTATCCCCACATTGATACAACATAGGCTCACGATTCATCCATGGGTCCAACCATCTTACTTCGACACTGGTTAATTTTTGTAAAAAAGTTATCCATTCCTTTTTAGACTTTCATTCTGACCATCCACTTTCATAGAACTCCTTGATCGGAGCTCGATTACGAATATAAAGCTTTGAGAAAGTACTTTTTCCCCATTCGAAATGGTTTTTCATCCATAAGTATAATAACTGTATGTAGCCTATAAAACGCCTTCCATTCCGATGACAGTAACTCAAAGATCTGATAGTCTCTGCTAATATTACCATTAAAGGTTTACAACCGTTAATCACACTCTCGAAGAAACCACCACTATTTCGATGTAACCCAAGACCTTCGAAAATATCACCATTCCGTATATGGCTAAGGCAAATATATCTAACCCCCATTCTTCATTGGCATGTTGCACTAGAAACTCATGAAAAAACTTTCAAGGTAGGCAAACCTATTCTTGTTTCTTCTTTGTATGAGAATCCATAACTTCTTTGTCTATCCCCATGAGTTGAGCTAAACCCTTACGAAATCCTGACTTATGTTTTTTTATATATATCTTATCCGGAGCCTTGAGTTGTAAACCTAACAAAGTCGAATATTCTTCGATGGTTGGTGTCATATCAATTTAATTGAAGATAAAACACTTGTATGCAGGATCCCATAATTGTGCTGCAGCTCTGATTAGTTGATCATCGAAACTACTACTAGAAGGTGTGCTATATGACTGTGTCTCTGGCAAAACTACTCTTGTCTTGACGGACTCATCTTTTTCCATATATCAATCAAATCTTTTAGATTATTCTGTTTAAAAAAGATATATGTTTCTTGAGATAAGGTATAATCATATCTGATTGGTAAACAATCACCCATCTTCAGTTGAATCTTTTTTACTGGACCCTTACTTCGTTGGGTGACTCACAAGGTGCTAATACAGATGAAAAGTAAACTAGTCGTTCTATAGAGTCCATGAAAAATTTTTGTTAAAGACCGTCTTTCAAGCAAATGTTCTTTATGCAACTTTATGATATGAGCATGAACTAATGCAAACGAATGAGAGAAAATGTTAGTATGCCCAGAAAAAAAAAAGAATAAATAAATAACTAAGTAAATTAAAATATCACACAAAATAAGAGGAATGAACCTTATGCTTCTGGTTAATTCTAAAAGGGAAGAATGATGGCTCTATCTATAGGTTAAGCATTCTTAAGGTTCACTATATGTGGTTTAAGGTTAAAGTTTAAAGGTTCCCAAATTGCTCCTTACATCATTATCCATTACAAACTAGTAAGGCACCCTAATCCTCACCTATTACAGGCTACAAACGAAAAAGGTTCAATTTGAGTGGGAGTATTTCGCTAGCTACTGCGAAGGCATTAAACCTCACGAAAGTAATAGGTACTTTACTCCCTCTTAGAGGGACGTAGCTCGGGTATAGAGCTCATGCTATGCATATGCATATGAATGACATAATTAATAAAGTAAATAAACATGAATGAATAAAAGAATCTATACAAAAGGTTCCATTTTTATTAGGCTTTTGGATAACACAAATTTATTTACTGGCTTGACTCTCGACATGTCTCCAGTGGAGTCGTCAAGCTGTCATAATGTCTAGATCCGGGGATCTATCGCTAGACATTGACTTGAAGGAGTCGCCACCAACCTTTTTTATCTAGGTGCGATTGGCCACCTAATGAATCTATCATTTCAGGGAACACCTAAGTTTAAGAGTTCCTAAAAGAATAGGTTCGAGTCTACTAACCAGAACAAGGTTTAAGAGTTTGGTTACATGTGAGGAAGGTTATAGCACCCTCACAATGCCAATCGAAAGATGGTACCAGCTTAATTTTGTGTTATCCAATAAGCCTTAAAAATTTACTAAGTAATTAATTATTGGAAATTATTCTCAATTGACTCTAATACTTTTAGCAAAAAATTGAGAAAATTCCCTCACCTCAAGAGTATGCAAGAAAACTACTGTTTTACTTGCAGAGGCTCCATCGTCAGATTATTTAACATTAAAGAAAGTTCAAGAAAATAAAAAAGAAAAAGAAAAAAAATGATTGCTTTCGTACAAGGAAAATTGATACTTTCAACTTTTCCTTAAAAATATTTTTTCAAATTTTATTTAAAGAAAATAATAAAATAAAAATAAATAAATAAAATAAAATAAAAATAAAATAAAAAATACTAAACAAATCTAATAAATAATAATAATAAATAAATAAATAAATGAAAAAAAAACCTGAAAACAGATCGGCTTAGCGGCCCAACTCGACTCGGCTTGAGGAAGAAAGGATAGTTCGAAGACACGACTTGGCTCAGCTCGGCTTGGCTTCGGAAACAGCTCACAGTCAGGTCGCACGCAAGTCCAAAACGGGTTGATGCTCGGGTCGGGTCACCCAATTTTAAAATGCGCGGATCCTCTAGGCACAGTAACGCCAAAACGACGTCCTTTTCAACAGGTATAAAAGGTTAATTCCTCTATTTTTCAGCAGATCGAGCCTTCACTCTCTCTCTCTTCTCTTCATTTCCTCTCCCTTCTCTCTAAACAAACAAAGAACTTCGATTGAATTCTCGTTGGATTTTGGAAATTTTCATCGAAATTTGAGTTTTTCACCGAAAGTTCACCGAAAAGCTGGTCGATTTCTAGAAATAATCGTCGAAAACTGGGTAGATGGTCGAAAAAACTTGACTGAAAAAGTCACCGAAAAATTCAAACTTCACCAAAAAATTCAACCTGAATTTCGAAATTTTCCAAAAATTTCCAAAAAAAAAAATTCACCAAAAATTCTAAAAAATTTTCACCGATTCCTAGAGCTATTCTAACGTATCAAAATCCTTTTTTAGCTTCTGTTTCTTATATGTGTCTGTGTTTCTGTGTGTCCTGGTCCTTTGATTCATGGATCTATTTATAAAGATTGATCAGAAGAGTTTCTGATCAATCCCAACTCTTTCTTGGATTGGGATTCGATCCTTAAATCTAATATGGACTCTAATTGAAACTCAAATCCACAGTAGAATTCCCAATTCCATCCCAATCTCAGCCGAATAAAAAGAAAAAGAAAATCAAATCAAACAAAAAATGTTAATAGATAATTAAAAAAATAATTAGATAAATAAAAATATTAATAGATAAATAATAATAATATATAAGTAGATAAATAATAATAAATACATATATATAATAATATATAAATAGATAAATAATAAATATATATTAACAGATAAATAATAAATATATATTAACAAATAGTAATAATAAATAAATAAATACATAATACATAAAATACAAAAAAGAAATATATATAAAATAAAAAATAAAAAATAAATTGGCCTACCCATTTGGACTAGGCCCAATTGATCCAGGCCTAGATCAAATTGGGTGTCTACATCGTTCACATAACTATTTCATAACAAATTTTGTTTTTGTTCTATGTCTCTGTTTTTCTCAAATTTTTATTATTTTGTAGCAGAGTTGCTATATTGATGAGAAAAAAAAATTTAATTGAAACTACCTTTAGATACTAATCGTTTATCTACAATAAGAGCATAAACTTCACTCTTATATATGTCCGGGATTCATATCTGATACTTTTCAAAGGAATGTGATTTGAAAGATAAGGGAGAATGGATGTGAGAGAAAGAGAATGAAGTGGTAGAGAGAAAAGTGGAAAAAAAAATGAAAGTGAAAAACTATTTGTGCCAACTAAATAGCCAAATTAGCAAAAAAAAAAAAAAGTCAACACGATATTAAGCCTGTGATGCTATACTACGGAGTATGCATTTCATCCAAAATTTTTTGTCTAAAAAAATTCTTAAATTGTTACAACCCTTAACGTTTTATCCTTATTTATATAAATTAAAACATTTAGTTCTAAATTGAATAACGACGCAAGCATTTAATCCTAAATTGATTATTTAGCCAATTACGAACGAGTAATTTTTTAAAAAATGAAATAAAATAAAAATATTTCAATCTAAATTATTTCAGAATGTTGGATAATTTATGATTTAAATCGTTTTTAAAATAATAAAAAGTTTTCATCAAATTCTAAAGGATTATGAACTACTGTTCCTTAAAAGAAATTTTTAGAAAAATAAAATATTTCTAAATTTTATTAGAATGGTAGAAAATTTAGAATATAAAATTTTAATAAAATTATAAAAGGGTTTAAAAAATAAATTATAAAAGTTTTTTTTATCAATCCAACAATAGAGCCCCTTCAAGGAAATGAATGGGTTTCCTAAATACTTTTGAAGTGAGAAAAATTTTCTAGAGATTTTACCAAAATGATAGAAAAATCTTACAAAATTTTATATATTTAAATAATAAAAATCAAAACAAAACAAAACAAAAGACCATTTAATTAAAGACCAATTTAGTGCAACACAAAATTACTTGGTATCATCTTCTGACGAACGTTGTAGAGGTACTAATATTTTCTCATGCATAACCGTACTCTCAAACTTAATTCTGTAACGTTTATTCAAATTTATTCTTTTTATAAAGTCTTAACTGAATTTATGATCTCTTTAAAAGAGATAATTTCAAGTTAGTGGTCAATCGTATCTAAACAAAAAAAATTGATGACAATTCCTGAGAAATTACATCTAACGATCGAGTCCTCAGACCGATACGGTATGACACTTAACTAACATAACATTAGAGAGTACCCAATAGATTAACAATTTCTTACAAATTAAATACACAAAGAAACAATAAATTGAGCATTCAAATCTTTTTTGAACGTGCCCTTTTTCTCCTTAAATCAGATTGTGCCATTCTAAACCCTTCAAAATCATAAAAAGTTTCATCATTATCTCCATCTTCTTTTTCAACCATGTCTTCAATTTTAGTCACCGATTTTCTTCTTCTCCTGACACCACCCTTAAGCCACTCCACTACTTCTAACATGCTAGGTCGATTATCCGGATTGCTGTCGGTGCATCTCAATGCAATCGCCACTGCAGATTTAAGCTGAGCACGATCGAACTTCCCCTTCAACCTCGGATCTGCAATATGATCATATGCACCCTTTTGCACAAATGGGGTGACCCATTGCACTATGTCACGCTTCACCCCACCAGGGAGTTTCTCCAATGGTTTTTTCGCACTTACGATCTCTAGAAGTAAAATGCCAAAGCTATAAACATCACAACTCTTGGAAACTTTTCCCCACATTGCATATTCAGGCGCCAAATATCCGAGAGTTCCCTTGACCCTAGTTGTCATATGAGTAACACCATCTGGTATAAGCTTCGCAAATCCAAAATCAGCAACTTTTGCTTCAAAGTTTGTATCTAAAAGAACATTGCTGGCCTTTATGTCTCTGTGTATTATGTGAGGTTTGACCTCATGATGCAAGTACCTTAAAAAAAAGTAAAAAAAACAAATAAAAGGATACATTTAAAGACAACTTTAGCTAATTAGATTTTAAACTAATTAGCAACACAGCCTCACAAACATATTATATATATATATATATATGAGTTTATATATGTTATATTGTTAGGGTATAGATAATATATATTATAACTGAATCATGACAACTCATAAAAAATTAATTTTAAAATTTTAAAATCTTAAAAATAAATACATTTAATTCTAAAAATATACTTAAACTTTATTTTATTTTATTAAAAATATATACATTGATAGTATATCAAAAATAAATTTTATATATTAAATAGGTGAATCAATTAATAATATTTCATCTCAATAATTAATTTAAAATAAACAATATGGAAAATCTCACCATGTCAGCTTCATGGAACACAATACAAATCTTGATTTATATTAGTATGTTGATAATCTTGCTTTATTTTGGCATGAACCATATGTGAACAATTTGAAGAATAATTACGTACGATTCTTGCAAATTAAGAACGGTATTTTTTTTCACAAAAAAGAAAAGGAAGAAAAGAAAGCTTAGTTTAACTTACGCTAGACCTTCGGCTGAACCGATGGCTATTCTCAGTCTACGTGGCCAATCGAGTAAGCAATCGGCGGCAAGTTGGCCATGCAGATGGGTTATCAAACTATGGTTAGGCATGTAATCATAGACTATTAATCTTTCATCCCCGCCGACATAAAACCCTCTCAAACCTAGCAAATTCTTGTGCCTCACCCTCCCAAGTATCTCCACTTCCACTGCGAATTCAGTCTCTACCTTTACACTTATCGCCTTGAGTCGTTTTACTGCTATCTGCAACACCACATTTGCTACACATAATTAACAAAAAAAAAAAAAAAACCAATTTATAGGTATCTACCATATATAACTAATTTGTTGGTTTCAACTAGCTATGGAGATTAAGCAATAGAGAACAGAACATATGATTGCCTCGACGCCTTCACTTGTACGACCACAATATACCCTTCCAAAGCCGCCTTCTCCTATCTTGTTATCGTTGTGGAAGTTGTTTGTTGCGTGCAGAAGCTTCTTGAGAGTGTATATTTCCCAGGGGTATTCCCTGCTCTTATTCACCCTGTGGCTGAAAGCAAAAGAAAAAAAAAATCAAAAAGCAATTGCAAATTAACCCAGAAATGCTCTTGTCAAAACTGTTACATGTACATAAGAAAAGCCTACCTGATCTCTTCTTTTTCTTGATAGATGCAACAGAAGAAACATCTCCAGTTCATAATTTCTGTGGCGGAAAGGTTAAGAGTGAGGAAAGGTGAATTGTCAAACAAAAAATTAAACAGGGTTGGGGATAAAAAGCAGCATGCAATTAGTACCGATCGGAGATTTCTGAAGAAGAAAATAGCTTTATTGCACTGAAGACAAAAGACAGCCTAGGGAATTCAAGGAGTTTGGAGTATGATGGTGCGTAAAAACAAGATGAAGAATATAAATTTCTAGTATAAACAGCTTGAATTAAGCTAATTTAATTTTTGTTCTTGTCGTTTCGCGTTAATCTGTTTTCTCATTGGAAATATCAAATTATTCCATCACTTATTAAACATTCTTAGTAGTTATTCTATTTATTCTGTATGACATACAGCACGATTAATCAATTGGTAATATGATAATGATGATTTTAATTATACAATTTCTTTTAGTTAGATGGAAAGGGACTCCTTCAAATCTAACAACAGCTGTCAATGTATCTGGAGCATTGATTTGGTTGACCATATCATACTGAGGGCATGATGCAAATTCAATTAAAAGATCTTAACCGTATGATCTTGAACTTTAAGTTTGAATTAGTTAAAAAACGCCATATATCAAGGACAATTAGCCGTAACAAATCCATTCCAAGAGGAATCATTCGACGCGAAGGCTTTAATCCATTATTACTAGCTTTTAGATCAAATTGAAAACGAGGGGTCCAAAAGGTTACGGTAGATGTTGACAAATTTTGCATTCCAAACAGGAAGTATGGGTGATTTTAACCTCTTTATCTGGGAAATAAAAATGGAAGAGCAGTAAAGTAAGTGTGGTTTGAACCTTTGGGCTCAAGGTATTGTTTGGGCCAACTTTCTATAATTGTTCTAATAATTCCCAAGGTTCAATGAGCCCGCCATTTTTTTTTTTCATATCTATTTTAAATTTCTTTTTATTAAGTTTCACTCTTCAAAATAGAGAGTTTTCTAAATTCACTTGTTTTTCTTTTCATATCTATTTTTTTTATTTTTAAAAATAAATTTACTTAATTATTTTTTTATAAAATTTTAAATATCCATATACGATAAGTTATACAACTTTCCGAGAATAAATTTTCGAAGAGATAGCTTTTAAAACTTTAAAAATATTATAAAAAAAAGAAATTTGACTAAAAATTTAATTAATTTATATAATGAAAAAGTTATTATTAAAAAAATTATTAAAATTAAAAAACATTAATTTTATTATTTTATTTTAGAAAAAAATAAAATCTTATTAGACTTTAATTAAACTAAGAATAAAATAGTAAATGCAATTTTCTTTTTAGAGATTTAAATTTTATCATTTCTTTTTAAGAAATATTTTTTCTTGTTATCGATTTTTGAAATTATATAATAATTTTATCTAAATTGAACTTCTTAGAGAAACTTCTTTATTTATTTATTATGATAGATTTCTCTAGTTAGTATATTAGATTTTGATAAAATTGTGTAGTATTTAGTAATATTACTTGTACAATTTTAAGAGTTTCAACTCTTAAATATTGATCAAACTTGATAATTCTTTTATCATCTCTCGTAACATCAAGAAATAAAATATTTAATTAAAGCCTCGTAAAACTTTATTCTTTTTCTAAAGTCAAAATAGTAAAATCAAATTTTTTTATTAATTTTAAAATTTATGATTCATTTCTAATAATGACTTTTTCATTACATCAATTAACAAAAATTTATAATAAATTTGTTATTATAACTTTTCTTAAAACGTTACTTAACATTAGTATGCAAATTCGGTAAGTTATATAACTTACTAGATATAGATATCCAAAAACTTATAAAAATATAATTAAGTAATTTTATTATACAAAAAAGTTTTGAAACAAAAGTGGGATGTGAAAATCAAAATGGGAGTAGATTTAGAACCTCCCTTCAAAATATTCAATTTTACAACATGAGTGGTTCTAAATACACCATTAGAATTTTTCTTCACACTCCTTCATATTCTCTTCAAAAATATTCATATATAAAATACTAATTTTATCTTTGAGTAAATTATAATTTTATCATTTTTACATCTCATATTTAAGGCTTTTGAAAATCTATTTATGAGAGTTTTAAAAGGTTTTTGAAAATCCATTTCAAAGAAGCCTTCAAATCTCTCAAAAATGAATTTTTCAAAATTTTTAAACTCTCAAAAATTTATTTTCGATAAAATTTATTTTGACAAAAAAATTTTACACCTTACTTAAGCTTCATTTGATATTTAAAACTCTTAAAATCCAATTTTGAAAACTATGATTATGATGAAAAAATTTTTGTAAAAATCTTAACTTTTGTATGACTTCAACCAAATTAATAAACAAAAATCTTGAAATCTTATCTACAATGAATGAAATACTCATAAAACTTGTGATTTAGGGGTTACTTTGATGATTTAAGGGTTAAATTTAAAATTGAATTCGGATTGAGAGTGACAAAATGAAGTAGAGAGTAAAAAAGATATGAAGAAAAATGTAATGTTGAGATGGAGTGTATTTAGAAAAAATAAAAAGTTATATTTTAAATATAGGATATATTTAATAATGGGGTGTAAAAAATTTTTGTGGATGTAAATAGATCTTTCCTTACAACTTTTCAACCTTCCCATTTTGTCAAAAATAACTATGTTTATTCTCATTTTTGCCCTTTAGTCCATAAGGTAGATGTCAGAATGATTTTCATTTTTTTCGTCGATTCTCCCCTACCGCTTCATTCGCTGCACCACCATATCGACCCATTCCCCAGATCGTCTAAAAGTTGGTGACGACCTTGAATGTAATTTTTGTCGATATAGCGACCATAATTCCATAATTTTCCACATATTTTCCTTCCGAAAATCTCACCATTTTTGGTGGCCACCGCCGCGCCTGAGCACAGTCGCTCCAGTTGATCTTAGCTGGCCTCCAAGGTAGCCTAATCTGGTTGATTCTGACCCGATCTGCCACCTTTGGATGAATTTGAGCCAATCTCAACAATTTTCAATTTTCAATTTTTAAAATTTATTTATAATTTTTGCTGAAAGTAATGCTTTTTTGAGAGATAAATAGTTAATAATAAATTATATAATTATATAAATTGATAAATAAAGTTTTTATTTCCGTTCATGAATAACAATATAAAATTAAGTTTTATAAATATATAAATATATACTAAAAAAATAAAACTAAAAAAAATAATAACACATATTTACAAAAAATATAAGTAAGCTAAAATAAATGCAAAGAAATAAAATTCCAAATTAATTGTTAATATATTAATTAAGTAAAAATAAAAAGTTATTGCTAAATATTTAATAGCTAAAAATAAGAAAATACTTATACATGTCAATAAATAAATGTGTAATAAGGTAAATTAAAAATAAAGTTGACATGTTAAATATTCATTATTTTATTACTTATAAACATAAAATAATGTGTTAATATTACTTATAAACATATAATAATGTGTTAATATTTAAGAAAATATTTTTTACTAATAAATATATTAAGAATTATTTTAATATGATATGAAAAATGTGTTAATATTTTTTATTAATTATTATATTAAGAATTAAGTTAGTAAGAAATTATGTGTTAAGACTTTCAAAATAATTTTTTACTAATTATTACTATTAAGCATTATATTAATATAAATAATGCATTAATATTTTTGAAAATTTCTTATTAATTATTATGTTAATATAATAAAATATATTAATATATTTTATTCAATAAAGATGTTTGAAATTCATAAAAATGCAAAATGAAATAGAAAATATACATTAAAATAATTTATTTTTACACTTTCGGCATAATGTTCTTAATGAACACTTTTTCCTCTAATCACATCTCACATCATCACCATCAGTGTTTTTACTCAAAACGCATTTTGTCTCCCCACCGGTTTCAATCTTATCACTCTCAATTTTACAATTGACCTATCAATCTCGCTACCTTCGCTGTTCTCAATCTCGTTACTATGTTGAAAAGATCCTAAAATTGATAATGTTTATGGCATTTTTTTCTCCCAACTTTCCTTTTTGTATTAGTTACTTTGATATTAAATCTTGGTTAAATTAATATAAAGGGCTTTTGGCAAATCTTTACTGCAAGCTCTTGAAGTTGGAGCTGGAAAAAGCTCTTAAAACTTAGTGATACTGCTAGCTCTCTGATCACACGGGGACCAGCTTCAAAAATGACTGAGAGGAAGACTTCCAAGTCTGGAGTATATACAGTTGCATCCACTTATAATTAATGTGTTTAAGACTAAATAAACCTCAAGTTTTCTGGATAGGCTTACTCCATATTCCATTCTTGGGTGGATGAGGCTCAGTCTTAGTGTTAGCTGGTAAAAAGACTCCTTTTACGCTAAAAACAAAGTAAATGACTTTAATGAAGTAAATCATTGCTGCCATTACAGCAGCAAAAAAAACAGAACATAAAGATGCAGGGCAGCCTCTTTTGAATCTTTTTTCTCACTTTTTCATAGTAGACTTTTTCATAGTAGCGTATACACTACGGTATTATCCTAGAATGTAGGGCATCTAAGCTGTTCAAGTGTCTAAAATCAAGTACTGCTATGTAAATAATATAACATAAATAAACCTTTAACTAGCCAAAAAGTTAACTGATGTTAACATTAACTTTAATATATTTACTGCACCGCACATTACTTAACATGTTCCCCTTAACGTGCTGCTTCGTAACTCCCAATTTAGGCTTCTTTTAATTGTTGGAATTTTACTCGTTAGTGGCCTTTGTGAAAATGTCTGGCATTTGCTCTTCAGACTTGCAAAACACAAGCTGCACTTGTCCTTTTTCAATTGATTTTCGAATGAAATGATGTTTGATTGCAATATGCTTGGTGCTGCTGTGATAAACTGGGTTTTTTAGTCATTGCTGTAGCAGATTTGTTGTCACAACGAATTAATTACCATAGCTTCCTTTTTCTTCTCACCTACATTTTCCATGATTCTTTTCATCCACATTGCTTGACGAATTGCCTTGTTGCCGCATATTCTGCTTCAGCAGAAGGTTTGAGCCACAATTTGCAGCTTCTCTGAAAACCAAAAAAATACTCTTGAAATGCATAACCCGAAGTGCTTTTCATGTTATCAACACAATCAGCCCAATCATTGTCACTATAGCCAAACAACTTCTACTTAGGACTTCTTTCATATCTAATTCCCTACTTGTTGTCCCTTGAACATACCTTAGCACTCTTTTGGCTGCTTCAAGATGAATGTGGCTAGGATTACTCATAAATCTAGAGTAGACTTGTTACAAACATTAAGCAAAGTCAGGCCTTCAAGCAGGGAGATAAATTAGATTTCCTATCAAACTTCTATATAGACTTTCATCCACCTTACTTTCTCTATTTCTTTCTTTAGTTTTTCACTCATCACTAAGGGTATTAATGGTTTTCAATCATCCATTACAATTTTTTTCAAGATCTTTTCAGCAAACTTCCTTTGGAAAATAAATACATCATTGCCATTTTGATGAATCTCAATACCAAGGAAATGACGTAGAATTCCCAAATCATTTATTTCAAATCTCTTCATTGTCTTAATCTTGAACTCTTTCATCTTGCTTTTGTTCACTTCATATGTACATCAAAATCGTCAACATAAAGTGAAATAATATCGTGTGCCTTGATAATTAACGTACAAAGTGGGCTCACTTTTACTTCTGTCAAAGCCTTGCTTAATATGTTTTATATTTCGTGTGTCATTACAAATTGTAATATAATAACATTTATGTTTTACATGTGTCTGACATAAAAAAAATTCGACATGAATACAAAAATTGTCATTATCTACAATCAAGCTCAGACTGAGATTACGTTGCTTTGCTTATGCGTGTTATGTCAACTTTCTTAGTTAACATGAGAGTCGTTCCACTAACAATGAGAAAAAAAAGAGAGAGATAGAGATAGAAAAGTTTGTAGCCCTATCAATCATTAATATCTCCTGTTATAGCTTAAAAAAGCCAGACATATCTATGAACTTGTCAAATCCAAAAAGAAGGAAGGAGGCATACAGTATACAAACAGACATATACATAAATATGTAAAAAACTACCATTAATAAGACTTTTAACAATTAAAATTTGGCCTAATAGCTTATGCCACTTTTAACAAATGTTAAGCTCAAATGTTTCAAAATGCCCATCCCTCCCCTTGAACTTCCTCATCTGGATAAAAATAATCATTACGATGATTTTTCTTTTTCTCTGGAGAGTAAAGGCAAGAGGGAACGAGATGGCTAGAGGGAACGCGTAGCACTAGGCAACAGTTTTTGCTGATCACTGATCAGTTGGAGCCTTTACCTTTTGAGACAAATCAGAATGGAATCTGTATAAACAACTTGTAGAATAGGAAACTTGATATTCCTTAATGGTGAAATGATTGTGTTGATTTGACTACATTTTTTTGGTCCAAAAGTTGATATAGACAACGGATAATCCCTCTCTTTCGATAAACTGCCCTTTCTTAATCAATTCAAGTTTCAATTTGATCCGGTTCTTACTAGTTAATGCAATATATACCTAAAGACTATTTTTTGTACCGAATTCCGATTTGAAGGTAATTTTGGAAAGACAAAAAAGAGAAGAAAGCGATTAAAAACAAAAATAATAAATGTTTTTTATGTTTGCATTCCATCACGTAAAGCAAAAATTGATACAAAAAAAGTTAAAAAAAAATTTAAGAACTGTGAATAAGATGGATAGGAACGATAGTACTTAAATATTCATATTTATAAGTAAAAAGAGAGATTTACGAGGACAATAACGAATGATCGAATTGATGTAACATTAAATATGTCAAGTAAGCATTAAATTGTTTGTTGGTACACTCTAACAAAGAAAAAAAAAATCATAATACCCTTTTGACTAATAAATGTTCCTAACAACTATAATCTAAGCTAACTAGATACTTCATTCATTTAAACGTGCTATGCTTGTTTTTACAAACTTATTACATCGAAAGTTTTGTAACTTCACTTCATTGTGATGGTCATTCTCATGTTATATGGATCAGAAATCTCATGTTTTTCTCAAGTGATTGCTATTTCCAATTGCTGATCACTTCCTGGATCTTATATCTCCTTTCACCAACAAGTACAACCCCTTTTCCACTCAACTTGCTATCTGTCCAAATTGATCAGTACTGTATGGCAAAAACCGTGTCATGACTGTGCATAAAAGCATGCAAAAATAGAAAGAAAGTGTATCCATCGGTATTGTAGATCACTAGATCAGTACCATCCACAGATTATGATATAACACATATCACAATTCAAAGAGCAAAACAAAATCAAAATCTGCATAAGGCATATACCGGACATGATTCCTATATAATGAAATTTCATCAGAATTCAGAATTACTGTGCATGAACTGAAAGTAGAAATCAAAATAACGTTAAGTCTTATCTTGCAGCAATAATCAACTTACCAACAAGTTATGAAAGCAAGTTGGACTCATAAAGTTGCCAGTGTATCTGGTATCACTTCAATTAAACTACACAGCTAGGCCAAGAACATGAAAATGTTGGTGAACATGTTTAAATTAAGCAAAATTTTTAATCAATCATGGAACATGTTTATTTATTTTTTACATAATTTATTTTCCGTTTTACTTAACTAGCCATAGTTTCCTCCCAGGATTCATTTCCTAGAAATAGTAATTAATTTCCAAGGAGATACATAATTGATAAAATTATATTTTCTTGTTCCACACAGAACCGCCTACCAACAATACAACTACAGATATTTCCAACTAGAAGGTCATAGAATAGCAAAACAAAGTACCAAAAGCTAAGTTATAGATATTAGCTGTGGCCGCCTTCATAATATGTATGAACGCCCTTGCAAGCCAATAGAGCAACGGTCACAGCATCAGTCATAACTCATAAGCGTATCTCGGTATGATATCATATCATTTAGTTTTGTTTGCAGCCTGGGTAGATCAAGTTGAGTTGGATCACTAACCTGCAAAACATTTTCAACAAAGCAAAAACACATGTTTTGGATTAGATAATTAACAATGCTAAATCCTAGAACCAGAAATTAATTATGGAAAAAAAAGAAGGGAGGGGGAATTTGAATGAATATATAATAAGAACAACCACATATAAATACACCTCAGAGTGAATAGTGTGCAAAAACCCTTCATTTGTTTGGCTGGAGACATAACGGACAACGTCAAGCCCCTCTTCAAGGATAACCAGCATCATTATCGAGAGATGCCAGCTTTCGTCTCCAAAGCCACTATTTATCACAATCTCCACTCCGCCCTGATAAGGATGGACTGCAACACATGAGTTGATCGGCGAGCAGTTTTCTGATGAACTAGCACTACTCCCTTGATCCAAAGCACTCAAATTGGACAATTTTTTGAGCTTATCTCTTTTGACACTCAATTCCTGGATCATCTTCTTCAAATATTTTATGTAATTCACTGCTTCGTTCATGTGATCGGATACAGCTCGCTTTCCCTGTAAGCCCTCTCCCCCCATCAAGAAAACCCTAGCATTATATAAGTATTTCCATAAAGAAAAGAAAAAAAAAAACTTATGATCTCCAAACTCCAAAGAAGGCTACCTAATTTTGAAGGCTACTAATAAATATGTACCAATGTGGAAAGGGTTAGCTATTTCTTGAGAAAACCTAGTAAAGTTAATACACAAATGGGGGAGGAAAAAAAGGAATAAATAAATAAAGAGACCAGTTCATTGACCTTTATTGACTCAACAGGGAGCAGTGATCGAAGTTTGCCATAGAGCTTGGCCATTTTCTGCCTCCTTTGCCGCTCGATTTCCTTGCGCAAGATCTTCTTAGCATCATTGGCGGTAGCATAATTCCCATCATTATTGTTGGCAGCAGCAGCCAAATTTTTAGGTCGTTTGCCTTTTCCTATTCTATTACTTCCCTCTACTGAAGCTTCCCCAGATGTCAGATTTTGTTGCACAAAATCTCCATGGTGGGGAATACCATAGATTTCGTACAGGAAGTCATCACTCTGATGAGAAGGAAACATTGAACAAAGACTCTTCCGGGATTGAAAGCTGTATCTTTCCAGGGATAATGAGAAGTTTAAATAAGCAGATACGCCTAAATCTTTGTTTTAATATTTTTGTTTCTGAAGTCCTTCGTGTATATATTTAGTTTGAGTCTTTTTCTTTTACAAATTATTATTGAATTTGATTTCTGAATTCAACATCATGCGATAACGCAACCTTTTCAATTTTCATTGGCCCGAAATAAAAAGATTCCCCGCAATCTCTTCCAAGGCAAGCTGTGGCAAAACGTGGTCTTGGCCTTGGCAGCGTGTTAAAGTTTTGGTTTTGGGCACTTTCTTCCTTTTACTGCAGAAATTACAACAGCAAGTCTTACGTCGGCACTCGGCAGGTGTCCCTTTCTGCACGTCTCATAACGATTCTAGGCAGATTAAAAAATTCAGTCATTGCAACTTTGGAGGATTGCTTTGGTTATCAAATATCATTAAATATTACTCAATTCTCTTTGGTGTCGTGTCAGATTGTCTATCTTTCGTTTCTATAGCATTCCCTTCTCATAATTCAATTGATTTTATCCATTTTTTCTTACTTTATTTATGAAATTAATAATGTAGGATAGCAATTATGGCAAATGAACAAAAGCATTGGATTTTCATGGGACGCAGAAGACGATCAGGTGAATGGAGAATTATTTCAGGCGGACAAAAGCCAAAACATCAAATCATCGTTAATTACCCAAAAATGCTATTTTTTATTAATAAATATTAAAGTACCAATTATTTAGTTCTACAACCAGGACTTAGTTTGTTTCATAAACAAAAAATTTTTGAAAAATAATTTTTATATTTTTAAATATTTATTTAACAAAAATTAATTGTTCAATGAAGAAAATTTATTGGTCAGATTATTTTTTAAAACATTTTCTTATAGATTTGAAATAAAAAATATATTTTTGAAAAAAGAGCTATTTATGAATATAACTATTTATTAATATTTTTAAGTATAATTTTACTTAAAATTAATATTATATAAATAAATAATATTATATGAATAAATAATATACTATTAATATAATATATTAATAAAAAATATTCATAAAAATATTATAATATATTCATAAACAATATATATTAATAAATCATATATTAATAAACAATATTATAATATATTAATAAATAATTTATTATTAATAAATAATATGAAGAATAATAAATAGTTTTATTTTAAGTTTTTTTATATTAAATAATATTTTAATATTAAATATTATTATTAAAATATAATTATTTTTGAATATTAATAATTTTAATAATAAATAATTTCAATATATTTTAATAATAAATAATTTTAATATTTTAATAATTATATTAATATTATTTGAAAAAAAAAATTTCAGAAAACAATCAAATAAAGAAAAATATTTTTTATTAACCCATCCAAACAACAAAAAATCTCTTTCAATTAAAAAAATATAAATAGTTTTCAAAAAAAAATTCAAAAATCATTTTTTACGAAATAAATGAAAATCAAATCTCCACTTACAAACATAAGAATTTGGCAGAAGAAATATATTCTTTTTTAAAATGACAAAAAAAGTTATATAAACATTATTAAAGAGATTATAAAATTAAATAAAATAAAATCTCAAATAAGATGTATTTTAGACACTTAAATATAATAAGAGTTATTTCACTTATTATTAATTAATTTTAGATTAAATATTTATTTTAAATTTTCACATGATATCAAACACGCGTTATGTTCCTTTGTTGTTCCTTCTGTGATAAATTTGTTATGCTTATCATATTAAGTTCATGTCTTCATTGTTCCTATAAGTAATGAGAGTATTAAAAGTTAAAACAGTGATAAAATGAAATCTTACATTAGTTAAATTGAAAGCATAATGAGGATAATGAGTTTTTCAATTTTCAATATAACAACGGTCCCTTTACATAGACCTTTAATGCGTTGGACTACTCACTCAACCTCTGAGTCTAGCTTGACTCAGTTCCAGTTATGGACAAGATTTTTGAAGCTTGAATCAGGTTAGGTTCGATTGGAAATATTATTAAACAAATGTATTTACTACATTTAATAAGTGTTTAATACTATACTTGAAATTAAAATAATAAATACTCTAGTCGATTGAACCATCTGGTTAAACCAATCGTATTGGTTAAATAGGAAATGGATGGTCCGACCGATTTAATTATCGGTCCGATTAGTAAAACGTTGCATAAGAGTGCAATTAGAATGTGAACGCCAAATTTTAGACTGGAAACTAAAAGGAATCTTCTACAACTATATCTAGTCTCAATTTTAACGTGTCCTCAGCTAGGCCTTGACTACTTCACATAAATTTGTTTGTCATTCATTTATAAAAATGTGTTATGCACTTGACATTGTTTTTGAAGTACAAATTCCATATCGATAAAAAAAAAAAAAAAAAAAAAACCCTATGGAATTTTAAAATTGCCACTGGCGATTAATTACATCTTTTTATGGGCTGAGCATCGGCATCATTTGTTCAGTTTGGATTCAGACTTGTCAGATGTATTATTAAATTAATAAAAATGAATTTTGAATTAATTTAATTATAAAATATATTTATTTAATATTTTAATATATTTTTAAAATTTTAAATCTCTTGAATCCGATAAGTGATTGAGCTTAGCTTTGATTAAAATTCTTTAAAATTAATTGAGTCTGATTCAATTTAATCCATCACCACTTTCACGCAAAATAATTTTTTATTAAAAAAACCATTCTTTTATAAAATATTGTGTTCTTATGGCCCATGAGGATGGTAGTATCTTAATGGAGATCCGAATTTCATATAATTATGGGAAATCTATATACTCTACAGGCTTATGATTTATAAAGATTTGAAAAAATTAATTGAAAGATTAGCTTAGCTGTTTCGTATCTTTCTCTCTAAATACATCAATTGTTCTACAATGAGTGGTTATCATTATAAAAGGCAAAAGGATAAAAAAAACTCCTAAATTAAAATTTAATAATCATTCAAATTTTTATTTTTTAATCCATTAAATATTTAAATGTCTATTTTCATCAATTGAACATTTATTAGAGAAAAATATTTAATTATTTTTGTCTAATCCATAATTTAATTGAGTGAAAGTAGATGTTTAATAGTTCAATTGGTTAAAAATATATATTTAAAAGTTTAATAAATTTAAAATAAAAAATTTAAATTTTGATAATTATGATAAAATATCATAGGCTTAAATAATTATAAAATTTTTGTTTGAAAATCTTTTATCCTTTTACCTAAAAAAATATTAATTAGGTGTGTAACAACTCATTTCATCGAGCAAGTACTAATCACTGCAAGAAAAAGAAAGCAATGTCATTGAGACGGGTGAGTGATCACTTGAATTTAATTATTTGTTAATCTCAAACAATGATCATTGAAATAATTAAGGAGCTTAAAGATAAAGCAGTGTGCCCAAGACTTCCAATTGTTGAATTCTTTATTTCTTCACCTAGCACTCTCCTCATGATGCCCAACTCCTTTATCTTTTATGATTCCCTTCTCTTAATTACATTGAAAAGAGGAAAATTCTTTTCGAAAGTTTAGCACGGACTTTTAAATTTGTACGAGCATGGATGAGAAATTAGATCAATTAAGGGATTTAACCATAAAATGCAGATTCCAACTTGATAAAAAAACTCTCATCACGTATCTAAATTAGGCTTAATTAAGAAAACATGATGATAAATCTTAAATTCTAAAGCCAAAATTAGGCCTAATTAAGAAAACATCATGATAAATAGGTTTCCTAAATTCTAAAGCCTTATGCCAATCTTCCCGATTATGAGTGATAATGGTTTGGATAGAATTAAATTTGATTTAATTTTTTAATAATATCTAGTATTATAAATTTTTAAAATTCAATATGAATTCAAATTGATAATTTTTTTATAATTGATCCAATCCTAGTTAAATTTTACTAATTCGATTCAGTTTATCGATTTTTACAATTTATTTTTTAATATAACTTTTAATATATTTAAACATATTTAAATATAAAATAATTATTTTATTTTATGAAAAATTAAAAAATATATATAAGCTAATAAAATATATAATCTGATTTGATTCAAATATTTTCAATTTTTTATTTTCTGATCCGAAATTCAATCCATATTTAATAAAAACATTTAATATCATAACTTAATATAAATCGAATGAGAAAAAAATTAATTGAAACCGAACCAAATATTACAATATTAAATAAGTTTTCAGTTTTTTTTTTTAATTTTTTTCTTATCCCTACCCCCAGCTACTAATAAAATCTGAGATCCTGTTAAGTGTTATAACTCCAACATAAACTTTGGTTTTGGAACTAATTCTTGCTTTTCAATTTTCATAACTCATCTCTTACATGGATTGTTGGGCTGGATCCCATGATGGGGAAAGTAGGGAAATGAGAGGTTCTTTTTTTTTTTTTTTCGCTTGGAAGGTGATAGCAAACAATGAGTACTTGAGGTCTGGATGCATGCAGCTTCCCCAACCCTTTCCGAATTTGTAGCTTTTTTTTTTCTTTTTTTTTTTTTTTATAGTTCTAATTGGTAGCTTTAGTGCTGTTATATGCTGTATATATTCTAAACCTAAATAACAAATTAAAATTTTAATTATCTCTCTCATGCCATCTACTTTTGGGAAAGTTAAGTTTCATCCACTGCTTTAAACGGAACAAATTGAACCCATAAGAAATATATATATATATATATATATATATAGATAGATATAGATATATAGATATATTGATATGTTCATATCAGAAGCCTACTATTTGTCTAGTTTGAGTTGTCTGCAAATGGGGTGACCATGATCTCAATTCTTATTGGCCATGCACACGTAGCAAAGTCTTATAATACCAAAATAGTATATAAAATTGGTAGCCAATAGCCACGTGTTTTCTTTTCTTAATAACAATTCATGTTACATTTGGAATTATATATTTGAATTTTGTTTGCTATATAAATTGTGAGAATATTTTTTTTTTAAATTGTAAGAATAAAATGCATGCACATTATATGTAAGAATTAATTAAGATTTAATAGAT